TCCTGTTCTCAAAGGTGATGTTTAAATTATTTAACAACTGCACTGACCAATCAGAAAGATCCTGGCTGGAACCAGGGTCCTTGGAAGGCCTGTGCTGTCAGGGGCATTAAACACTTAGTTGCTGGGTTGTGGAAAGGTTGAGGGCTCCAGGGAGTGGCCAGGGTAACAGGGAGGGGCACTTGGGGTACTCAGAGCTGCAATTATTTACCAACTGATAAGGAAGTATCTGGGTAGTATAGTTACCAGTACAGGTGTAGGGGTACAGACTCGCTGAATGTTCTCAGACATTTGGCCCCAAGGCAAGGAGGGAGAGGCATTCTGGCCTCTGAAAGAATGTGAACTTAGGGATTGCCCTCCTAGCCACTGGCCAGCCACCCCAAGGTCTGCTCTTTGAACTGCCCTTGGGATTCTGTTGGCAGCTTTTCTCTCAGCCACTCACAGGCTCATGGCTGAGCAGTAGTCAGTTGGCAAAGAGGTACTGAGCCCTCACTGTGCATTTGACAAGTCTCCAGGGGTATGGAGCTTACATTGAAATCTCTTTTTTGGGGGGCTGGACAGACCAAAATCATCCAGAAAGACCATAACAGAGTAGGCAACAGCTGACCCTTGCTGCTTTGCAGGACTAGCCAGTGTGGTAGACATTAGACATATGGGTTAGGTTCTCTGGAATTTTCATGGCTTCCTCCTTTTGTCACTTAGAAATATGTGTATTTAGGTAGATATAGTGGAGGGAGTAGGTAAAGATCTTAGTGGTGATCTTATTTTCTTAATTGGTTTGAGAACATCTCTATCTTTGGTTCTGGATTTGAGGCCAACTATGGTTCCACAGAGAGTCACCTTTCATTCTTAGGGTGTGTGGTTAACTGTCTCCCTGTCCCTCCACCTCATACCAGGCAGAAAAGTATCATCCCTGGTTCTGGCTAGGAGACGAAGAAAGAGGTAATTTTTACCACAGCCTATACTCCAGGAATAAGATCAGTGGTTCTTGAACCAGGGGAGCTGGAAGTGTCCTCTGGTGATGTTTCTGGCTGGATTTTTGCTGCTGTAAGGGGTAGAAAGGCTAGTTTCTCTGCCTCAAACCTACGAGTCAAGCTCTGGTCCTGGTCCTTCTCCTTGCCCATTCTGACAAGTGGCTAACTTTTAGGTAAAGGATGAAGGCCGCTGAGTGTGCGCGCACCCAGAAGGGATTGGAGTTCAAAGGACAGCCCCTTTGGGGGCCTGCTGCCCTGCCTGAGGCCTCTCCATAAGGGCTCACTGGCCTCGCTTGGAAAGGGCAGCACCTGTTAGTGCCACTGTTTTTATAAGCTAATGAGGGCAGAGTGTGAGCCATAGGCAATGATGCTGGGATATTAGCTGTGACAGGAAGCTTGATCATAATTATCTTAACGAGGATAGGGTTAATTACAGTGGAAACTTAAAAGTTCTCTCTGTTTGAATCCACTGGAGCCGAATGCATTGTGATGTTTTGTCATTTTGATGTGACTTTGGAAAAGGCACTGGGACTCTTCAGGCAGCAGCCATGGCTCCTCAGGGAGCCCAGCAGAGCCCTGCGAATGAAGTAACTGAGATGGTACCTGTGGGTGAGATAATGGGCAGCTTTCCTGCTGGTGGAGCTGGAGGCAGGCAGCCTGCACATGCTTTGGAGGTGCTGATTAGGTTTCCAGAGCAAAACCACCTGCCACAGATAGGACCTCACACCCAGTCTCTGTGCCTGCCCTGGGTGGCTCTTGACTGGGCTGGGAAGACCTCTCTCCAGCTGGCTGTGCCGAGGTAGCAGGTGAAGCCTTACCCTCCCCCTCCAGCCCCTGACCACGGCTGACATGCCTGCCTCACCTTCCAGCCTGCCCCTCAGACATCTGCAACCACTGCCAAGCAAGCTGGTGAGTAACCCTGGAGTGACAGTCATCTCTTCCACCAAGGCTCTTGGGTCCATTTTGCTGTCCACACACAAGGTTATAGCAGAGAAATTACAGTTCCGTCATCTTTTCCTTGTAGATCTGTAGCTGTCCCATTAAACAGCATAGATCTGTGTGGATCCTGAAAGCCTTTTTTGCCTTGTCATTTTATTTAACACAACCTATCAATTTACAGGAATCTAGTATATGGGAGTATGAACTCAAGGATTGATGCAAATTCTTTCTTTTCCTACTCCTTCCAGGGGAACAGCAGTGACAACAACAACAACAAAAGTAAAATTGTTAAAAAGTAAAGGATAAAACCATCTTCTAGGTGTGTGTTTATTGGCCTCCACATGCCAGCCAAAGCAGAGAAATCCTGTCGTCTCCAGTTTTACTCTTCACTGTGCTCTCAGCCTCCTGTCGCAGGCCCTCAGCTCTGAATTTAGCTGATTAAATCACAAAATGCACACCACACTGATGACATGAAGGCAGGGATTTATTAATTAGCAACCGCCCCCCCCCCCCCCCCCCCCCCCCCCCC